AATTCAGGAATGGGAGACCAGTCTGAGCAAGAGTGAGACCCATCTCTACCAAAAATAGAAAAATTAGCTGGGTGTTGTGGCAGGTGCCTGTAGTCCCAGGTTAGTCCCAGTTTTGGGGAGGTTGAGATAGGAGGATTGCTTGAATGTAGGAGTTAGAGCAGCGGTTCTCAACCTGTGGGTCGCAACCCCTTTGTAACAATGAAAATACCTGCATATCAGATATTTGCATTACGATTTATAACAGTAGCAAAATTATAGTTATGAAGTAGCAACAAAAATACTTTTATGGTTGGGGGGTCACCACAACATGAGGAATTGTATTAAAGGGTTGCAGCATTAGGAAGGTTGAGAACCAATTAGTTAGAGGTTTCTGTGAGCTAAGCTGATGCCACGGCACTTTAGACTGGGACCACAAAGTAAGACGTCTGTATTACTAAAAAAAAAAAAAAAATTCTACTGTGTAGAATTCACTGTGTAGCCCTGGGTAGAGCTCACAGCAACCTCAACCCCCTGGCTCTTAGCAATCCCCCTGCCTCAGCCTCCCGAGTAGCTGGGACTAGAGGGAAGCACCACTGTGCTGGGCTAGATTTATTTATTTATTTATTTATTTATTTATTTTAGTAGAGATGACTCAGGCCAGTCTCAAACTCCTGAGCTCAAGCAATCCAACTGCCTCAGCCTCCCAGAGTGCTAGGATTACAGGTTTGAACCATTTCCCAGCCAAAAAAGATTTTTTTTTTTTTTTTTTATAGACAGGTTCTCACTCTGTTGCCCAGGCTGGTCTCAAACTCCTGGCCTCAAACGATCCTCCTACTTCAGCCTCCCAAAGTGCTAGGACTATCTGTATGAGCCACCACACCTGGCTACTATTAGTATTTTTATTATTCTTTATTTCTTTATTCTTTTTTTTTTTTTTATTGAGACAGAGTCTCACTTTATTGCCCTCAGTAGAGTGCAGTGATATCACAGCTCACAGCAACCTGAAACTTTTAAGCTCAAGTGATTCTCTTGCCCCAGCTTCCCAAGGCCTGGTCCAGAACTACAGGCACCAACCACAACAGCTGGTGGTTTTTAGAGATGAGGTCTTGCTCTTGCTCAGGCTGGTCTTGAACTCACGAGAGGCAATCCAACTGCATTGATCTCTCAGAGTGCTAGGATTACAGGTGTAAGCCTGGCCTAACAATTTCTATTATGATTTTGTTTCTTGATTCATATATAAGTATGCTTTTTAAGTTACCAAATATATGCATTGTTTTCATCATTTTTGTATTGATTTCTAGTCTAATTCCATTTTGGTCATACAATATAGCATGACACTGATTCTTTGACAGTCACTGAACCACACTTGCTGGTGTATTACTTATAAGTTTTTACAGATATTCTATGTGTGCTTGAGAAGAATATGTATTTGCTGCCAGGCTCAGTGTCATATGCCTATAGTCCTAGCTACTCTGAAGGCTGAGGCTGGAGGATCACTTGAGCCCAAGAGTTCAAGGCTGCAGTGAGCTATGATCGTGTAGCTTGGGCAACTCTGTCTCTTAAAAAAAAAAAAAGAAAAGAAGTATAGGTATAAGCTTGCTAAGTGATTGAAGTAGGTTTCTTTGTTGATTCATTAGCTTAAGATTAGCTCAAGCTTATTAAATGTTTATTCAAACTTTCTACATTCTTCATTCTTACAAAGTTTTAGTCTACTTAAACTTTTAAATATTGTATGAAATATGTTAAATTCTCTCACCATAAAGGGAAGATTAGGTTTTTCTCCTAGTTATGCTAATTTTTCCCCCAGGTTTTTTGAGGCCATGTTATTAGGTACACATGAATTCAGAATTATATCTTCCTAGTTTAGACATCTTGCCATTTGTAGTGGCCCTCTTTTACCTAAAATAAAGCTTTATCACCTTAAAGAATATTTTGTCTGACATCAATAAAGCTAGACCAGCTTTCTTTTGACTAGGATTGCCTTCTTTTTTTTTTTATTTGAGACGGAGCCTCAAGCTATCCCCCTGGGTAGAGTGCCATGGCATCACACTCACAGCAACCTCCAACTCCTGGGCTCAAGCGAGTCTCCTGCCTCAGCCTCCCAAGTAGCTGGGACCACAGGCACCCGCCACAACGCCTGGCCATTTTTTGGTTGCAGCCATCATTGTTGTTTGACGGGCCCGGGCTGGGGATTCGAACCTGCCACCTTAGGTGTATGTGGCTGGCGCCTTAGCCGCTTGAGCCACAGGCGCCGAGCCAGGATTGCCTTCTATAACCTTTCTCCATCCTTTTATTTTCAACCTTGCTGGGTCTTTACTTGTTCGTTAATCTCTTAAAAACTGGACATAACTGTATTTTGTTTTATGTATCTTTTGATTCTTAACTAATGGATTTTTTCTTAACTAATGGACTATTTGTATTTATTATGATTACCAATATAGTTGGATTTATTGCTACCATCTTATTTTACACTTTTTGTTGTCTTTTTTTGTTTCTTTTTTTCCTCTTTTCTTGCCTTCCCTTAAATTGATTTTTTAAAATTCCATTCTTTTTCTTCCTGTCCTTCTCCATGACAAATTTACTTTTGTTCACCCTAATAGTGAGAGAATGCTGCTTGGAATCCCAGCAGTATGTACGGTGGTCCCAGGCTTTATCTCTGGTCTTCCCTGCTGCACAAGCACTCAAACGGATAGCTGAAGTTCATCTGGATTTTGTGTGGCAGATACTCTCAAGGCAAAAACTGATGGCAAGCACACTTTCCCCCCAGATGACTGTTATCACTGTGCTTTTGTACAGTGGAAAATTTCTTGGAGAAATTCAAGAAATTAGAGAATTTCTTGCCAACTCAATGCTTTTGAAAAAACACCATTTTTATCTGGCTCTATAGTCACTTTCACTGGGACATTTACTACTATACTCCCATAGAGGGAGGTCTGGATGTTTTTTTAGTCCACCCTTTCACTGGGCTGTGTCTCTTTGAGGGTTGATATGGAGATCTCAGTTCCAATTGCCTACCCTGAGAGGGCCCAAGACTTTATCTTTTCTCCTGGGCACAACTAAAAGCCAAGGACAGGCTGGATGCAGCGGCTCACACCTGTAATCTTAGCCCTGTGGAAGGCTGAGGAGGGTAGATTCCTTGAGCTCAGGAGTTTGAGACCAGCCTGAACAAGAGTAACACCCTGTCTCTACTGAAAATAGAAAAACTAGTTGGGTGTTATGGCAGGCACCTATAGTCCCAGCTTCTTGGGAGGCTGAGGCAAGAGGATTGTTCAAGCCCAAGAGTTTGAGGTTGCTGTGAACTATGATGCCATGGCACTCTACCAAGGGCAACAAAGTGAGACTCTGGCTGAAGAAATAAACAAACAAACAAATAAATGAAATAAAACCCAAGAGCCTATGCTGCCAGCCAACATTGGTGAACATCTCCAGGTCAGCTCTGGCTTTGTCATCCTTTTGGCCACTGGTACTATAGATATCAACAAATTATGCAAACTCGCTATACCTGTTGGGGACAGTTGTATGCACAGAAAAATGAAGACAGGCCAGGCTCTGGGATTCTAGGTAGCTTTGCCTTCTTGTGGACTTCCACGTTCCATTGCTACTTCTTCCTCAAGGCAGCTCAAAGAAGCAGAATTTAGTCAGATGTTTACCCGACCTGCTCTACCCCTCATCTCTTAGGAAACTTCTGTCTACCCTGGCAGGGTTCTAAAACTTATTAGGGTCATGGAACTCTTGGATAATCTGCTGAAAGCTATGAACCTTCCTCTAGGAAAATCCATTGCCAGCCAGAGTGTAGGGGACAATCATGCATCTGATAATTTTTCTTCTGAAAGATGGGTTTGGGGTCTCAGGCCTTAGCTTTGGTGGGCTTCTGCTTCCTCATGAACTCCCAGTATCTGTATATACCCCAGAATGAGGCAGAACTTCATGCTCTGTGTTTTTGATTGATTTATTGTATATTTGACTATTATCATATAATTGCGTGAATGTTTTTGGCAGTGAGCCTGTGCAGTATAGAGGTCTAAGGAGGAAGTTTCCGGATTTTTTTCTTTATACTGGGATCTGGTTTTCCTAACTGCATTTAATGAAAAGCAATTCCTTGGGCCACTGTTGCTTTGACCCCGACTTGTTGTGTTTTTGATCTATACCTGAGTTTAGACCTATTTCTTTTCTTTTCTTTTCTTTTCTTTCTTTTCTTTCTTTTCTTTCTTTTCTTTCTTTTCTTTCTTTCTTTCTTTCTTTCTTTCTTTCTTTCTTGACAGAACCTCAAGCTATCACCCTGGGCAGAGTACCATGGCATCACAGCTCACAGCAACCTCCAACTCTTGCGCTTAAGCAATTCTCTGGCCTCAGCCTCGCAAGTAGCTGGGACTATAGGCACCCGCTGCAACGCCCAGCTATTTTTTGGTTGTAGTTGTCATTGTTGGTTGGTAGGCCCAGGCTGGATTTGAACCCACCAGATCTGGTGTATGTGGCTGGCGCCTTAGCTGCTTGAGCTATAGGCGCTGAGCCAGTTTAGACCTATTTCAAGGAGTCTAAGCCTCTTTTGATTTATTCTGCAGTGGGTGTTTAATAAATACAGACTAACCATCTGCCTCCCTCTTTGCCTCTCTATTTAAGTCTTGGTCTCTTTATGACTCCTTGCATTTCTAATCTAGCCATTCTCTTCAGCTCATTGAGCTCCTTTCCATCTGTTAAATAAGTGGGTTGAATAAACTCAGACATTCTCAAGCTGCACTTCTCTGAGCACCTTGCAGGAATGAGAGGTGCAGGAGCCCCGCCTCCAGGACACTTCCACTAGGACAGGTCTGCTTTCGTGTACTTTATATATTAGAGTTAGAGTAAGATTTATTTTGAGCAAAATTCCATAGGAGATCACTGATGTCTGTGTGTGAGTCCTCCCTGAGCAAGAGTCCTGTCACCTGGACTGCAGGGAGAGGCTGGGAGAGAAGGCATTCCCAACCCATCCCTGCCACTGCAGCAGACATCCCTTCCCCCTTGACCTTCTAATTTTGTCCTAGTTCCAGCTTCAGGAAGGATGTTACCTCTCATGATGGGAAAGTTAATGTTGCTGCTGCTACTGCCCCTGGGTCAGGCTGCTCCCAAGGATGGAGCCACAAGGTAGGTAATAGGATTAAACAGGCAGGGGGTAGGGTGGGAGCAGAGAGCATCTCTAGAGCATATGGTGGGCCACCTGGGAGGCAGGAGATTGAGTGTGGGCTCCCTGATACCTGCATCTCCCCACTTCAACCTCCTGCCTGTGCCTGTCCAAATGCAACAATGTGAGCATTCAGTGCATGCTTGCTGGACCCACTTGAGAGCAGGGAGCTCAGCTCCAGTATGGTATAAGCACAGGAGAGAGCCAAAAGCCAGGAAAGGGGCTGCAGTCTTCCTATTGAGGCCTTACAGTAGGAATGCCAAGAGAAAGAGATGATTGGCACATCATTTTTATTTGAACACCTTTCTGAAGGTTTTATGTATTAATACTGCATTGTGGGCATGCTGGGTAGGAGATGAGACAGACACAGGAATATCCCCAAGGACTGGCTGCCAGCTCTTCAGCATCACAGCTCTGGACTGATTTGAGCAAACGGTAGCCCCATTCAGAGCTGGGAGCACAGTTTGAAATTGAAAGACTGACAAAGTAATCCTGACTAAAACTCCAAAGCCAACATATATGCCCTTTGCCTAAAAAAGTAAGAGTCAAGCAGCGCCTGTGGCTCAGTGAGTAGGTCTCCCACCCCATATACCGAGGGTGGCAGGTTCAAACCCGGCCCTGGCCAAACTGCAACAAAAAATAGCCAGGTGTTGTGGAGGGCGCCTATAGTCCCAACTACTTGGGAGGCTGAGGCAAGAGAATCACCTAAGCCCAAGACCTAGAGGTTGCTATGAGCTGTGATGCCATGGCACTCTACTGAGGGTGACAAAGTGAGACCCTACCTCTTAAAAAAAAAAAAAACAGTAAGAGTCAATTTTGTCATAGAGTAAACTAAATCTGTTTAAAACTGGGCAGTGCCTCTGGGCTCAGCCCGGGACCTGCCTCTCAGTTCCCAGCATTGAAGAAGAGGGGAGCTGTGATCCATGCTGTCCTGCCACTCACTGGGCTGCTTTCTTGGGACTCCAACTTACGTTTACTAGGTGTGGCCTCATCTGGCCTCTCTCTAACCAGATGTTTTATTTAGATCATTCCTTAAAGTTTAAGTCAGGCAGCTGCAAAAATGGAGTCTGAGGGGTAGTTTTGCTTCCATGGGGGCCAGAAGGGCCTCTTCTCCACAAAGTTTCAGGGAATTTGGGGGAGCAACTTCCTTTGGATCTAGGTAGAGAACTCTACCGGGAGATAGGAGGGTGGAAGGCTGGCAGGAGGGTCTCTCATCCTCCCCTCCATCCTCCAGGCTGGACTCTGAAGTGCAGCATCAGCTCCTGCCCAACCCCTTCCAGCCAGGTGGGGAGCAGCTCCGGTGAGTAAACTGGGCTGAGCCCTTCAGTGAGCAGATCAGGCTGTGCCTCTCTGGGGCTGATTTCTCACTTTTCTGACAGACTTCTGCAGGGCTACCTAAAGGGACTAGAGAAGATGGAAGAGGAGCCCGAGTCCCTGACCCGGGAGCAAGGTGAGAGCCTGGGCTGACAGGGCCGGGGCAAGGGCGGCTCAGAGCAGCCACAGCTGGGACTGACCTCTGGCCACCTCATCTACTCCTGCCTTTCCACCTGCCCCTGGACACTTCTTTTAAATTTTTTCTTAGATAGTTTCATTCTATTACCCTAGGCTAGAGTACCCTGGTGTCATAGCTCACAGCAATCTCAAACTCCTAGGCTCAAGCAATTCTCTTGCCTCAGCCTCCCGAGTAGCTGGGACTACAGGCGCCTGCCACAATGCCCAGCTATTTTATTTTTAGTAATGATGGGGGTCTCACTTTTACTCAAGCTGGTCTTGAACTCCTGAAGCTCAAGAGATCCACCTGCCTTGGCCTCCCAGAGTGTGGACACCTCTTCTAATCCAGCTTTTCTTTCCTAGTTCTCCTCTACCTCTTTGCCCTTCATGACTATGACCAGAGTGGACAGCTGGATGGCTTGGAACTTTTGTCCATGTTGACAGCTGCCCTGGCCCCTGGGGTTGCTGACTCTCCTACCACCAACCCGGTGAGCTCTGGTGGGTGGGGACCCCCTTGCCCCAGCAACTTGACTCTTTTGGTGAATCTCCTATAAAAGGAAGACTCAGAGCTTACATGGCAGGAATGCAGGGTGTGCGTGGGGGGAGGGGCGAGGGGGCTGAGAGACAGGGCCCCTGGGGTCATTTGTGACCACTGGAGATCCCACAGTGACTTTGTGCTTCCACAGGTGGTCCTGGTAGTGGACAAGGTGCTTGAGACCCAGGACCTGAATGGGGATGGACTCATGACCCCTGCAGAGCTCATCAACTTCCCAAGAGAGGCCCCCAGGCATGCAGAGCCCAGAGAGCCCCTTGCTCCGTCTCCCCCAGAGCCACAAGCTGTTGGGAGGCAGTCCATGTTAGCTAAAAGCCTGTTAAGACAAGAAACACAGGAATCTCTGGATCCCAGAAAAGAAGCTAGGGGCCAGGGAGAGGCCAGAAGGGAGTCCTTGGAGCCTGTCCAGGAGGCCGGGGGCCAAGCAGAGGCTGAAGGAGATGTCCCAGGTCATGAAGGAGAGGCTAGGGACCAGGCAGAGACTGAAGATATCCCAGGTCTTGGTGGGGAGGCCAGGGGACAGGCAGAGGCCAGAGACAATGGGGAGGAAGCCAAAGAGCTTCCAGGCGAAACACCAGAGTCTAAGAACACCCCAGATGATTTTGAAGTTCATAGTATTCAGCTGGAGAATGATGAGATATAAACCTTAAGGGTACAGGCTTGCACCCTTGAAGTCTCAGTGCCAGAACATAAGCCTCCCAAGGGAGGCGTGTTATGTTGGGACCACCTCTGGATTCCCTTCTTGGCCCCAGTAGGAGTCAGGTCTTTCTGTGCAGCTCAGGGAGATCCTAAGTTAAACAGCAGCTTTAGGGCCCAGACGACCAATAAAGAACTGAATCAATTCACCACCCACCCAGGGCCATCTATCTCCCAGATCCAGCCTGCCCAGGCCCCCTCAGGGGCATGGGGCTTGGGGAATGAACAGGTCTCTTGGAGAGACAGGGATTAAGCTTTCCTGGTGTGTCTAGGCCCAGTTTGCTAAGAAAGCAGAGTCTACAGCACCAGCCACAGTGAACTGCAGATGACCCTGTGAAGAAAGCTCAGTCTATCCCTGGGACCCAACCACTGTTCTGTTCCCCCTTCACCTGGTGCTCAGATACCCTGTGTCCTCCTGCACCTCAGGGCAGATGGTCCCCATCACCCTGTGTCTACCCCTCCCTCAGTAATATTAATAATAACTACCGGGTTTTGAGAACTTAGTACACACACCAGGCACCATGCTGGGCATTTTCTGTGATCAGGAAGAATTAGCTCCGTTTGACAGATGAGGAAATTGAGAAAACCTGAGCTTAGTACTATGCCCTAAGGTGGACATACAGCTAATTAAATGGCAGATTTGAATCCAGGTCCATCTGACTCTAAAGCCCATGTCTTTTGTCTCATTGTAAGGCCTTACTCACCCTTCCCCAACTTCCATATTGGAGTTGGCCCCTAATTTCAATTTGCTTTCAAGATCCAATCTCCCTGAGGGGCTGCAACACTCTGCATCCTGAGTCACACTTGTGGCTGAGGCATCACCTTAGGCCAGAAAAGTTCAGACCTCAAGAACAAGGCCAGAGGAAGCTGGCTCAGGGGAAGATTTATTTGCTCTGAGGCTCTACAGAGAGTGATGGGGTGGGAGAACGGGACACAGGCAGAGTCCTCCCCACACAACCTGCATCTGCCCAAGGAGCAAGGCAGCCCAGACGCCAGGCTGGATGGAGGGGAGATGGCAATAGCAGCAGTGATGCCAGCCTCCAAGGGGGTGATAATCTGGTACCTCCTGCCACACGCCTGTCACACGATGCCATCAAAGCCATGCAGGCCACACTTCTTGCCGGCCACCTGGCAGCCAAACCTCAGTGCCTCCTGCATGCTCTTCCCTGGAAGAGGAACAAGTATCTGGGTCAGCCAGGAGTTTGGGGCAGAGGGTAGTCCTTAACCTTGTCCCCTCCTGCTGGGGTACTCACCCTGGGAGAGGCTGAAAATGACAGAAGCATTGAAGGTGTCTCCAGCCCCCAGAGTATCTACCACGCGGGGTGGTGGGAAAGCGTCCGAGTGGAGTAATTTGCCGTCAGGGCCCAGGGCACCAGCGCCCTCCTCAGCCCAGGCACAGACAAGTACAGCCCTGCAAGACAACTCCCCTCAGTTGGGTGTTACCCCACCTGCTCCCCCAGACCAGACCCTGCAGAACCCGGGGAATCCAGCCTTACCCTCCCAGCCCCTATAGCCCCTTCCTTGCTTTCCCGGCTCACCCTTTCCTCACACGACTGTACAAGCCCCGCAGGGCTTCGTTTGCTGACTGGAACCCCAAGTGCTTGGCCACATCTTTACTGACAAACACCTGCAGGCAGTGGAAGAGAGGTTGAGGGTCCCCTCCAACTCTAGGCACTCACCACCAGCAGCCTGGTGTTGCCTTCACTTTATAACATGACTCCCTAAACATAACATGGCCACATAAATCCCCAAAAGAGTATCTCACTGTCCCACAGGAAGATGGTTTTATATGTGCTTAGGATATGCTAAAATACAGCCTTGTATATTTTGATACAAAAGCCTTGATCCAGGTGTTCTAGATCAATGAATTAAAAACCCAGAGAAAGCCTTGAGCGCCATCTTGGGGTAGACTCCATCACTGCCAGGTCACACTGTGATGGCTCTCAGGAGCACGCTTTGTTTTATCTTTCCTCACACAACTAGGATTTCTTTAATAATAAACAAAAAGGGGAGTGTAGGGATCTAGAATTCCCTCAACGCTAGCTACATAGAATCTCCAGAGATAGTTTTAGTAAAAAATACCAAGTAGAGCCCTGGCTCTATGAATCATAAAAAACACAAAAGTGGGGCTCAGGCATCCATATTTTAAAATGTGGAGCCAAGGTTGAAGACCAACAGACTGGATGGTCTCCAGCCAGCTTCAGCTATCATGCTACAATTGCCTCCCAAATTCCATTTACCAAATTGTCTCCCAAATTTACCTCGTGCAAGTCTCCTTCCCACCCTCCTCTTACCCCTGCTAGCTCCCACAATCCGCCACTCACCCTAAAGTTGGAAGAAACCTCAGAGAACAGTTCTACATTCATTTACAGCAGAAAAGACTGAGGAAGACCAGAGAGGAGATGCTTGCCTGTGGCTGTCTTAATCCTGTCCATACCATCTAGGCACCCTTATACCTATACACACACTTAGGGTGGAGACATTCTACTCCTGGACACTGCTGTGGCCTGCATTAGAGCCCAGAGCTGGGAGTCTGCATCTTTGCTTTGCCCCCCACCTCCCAACACCACCAGCCCAGAACTGCCATTCCAAGTGTGGTACACAAGATAAGGAGACTCCCGGCTCCCATTATGCCAGGTGCAGTGGCTCATGCCAGTAATCCTAGCAGGGAGACTAAGGTGAGAGGACTGCTTTGAGGCCAGATAGGTTTCAGAACCTATCTCTACAAAGAAAAGAAAAATTACCCAGGAATGATGTTGAGAATGTATAGTCCCAGCTAGTCAGGACTGAGGTGGAAGAGTTGCTTGAGCCCAGGGTTTGAGGTTGCAGTGAACTATAATGACACTAGTGCACTCTAGGCTGGGCAACAAAGAGAGACCCTGCCTCTAAAGGAATCAAATTAGCTGGCTGTGGCAAGGAAAGGGTTCATAGGGTACTCACCACGTCTCCATAGCCAAATAGTTGGAATAGCTCCTCACGGGGCTTTTCCACCTCCACAGATACCCGGATCCTCTGCCCCGGAGGCAGCCTGGCATTGTGCTCATCTATCCGCTGCAGCATCTTCACCTGCTCTGAAGCATTCCGGCCCTGAGACAGGACAGGGCAGCTCAGGACTGCTGGGCACAGCCTAACTGATCTGGCTCATTTTTCTCTCCCTGCTGGAATTCTGGGTGAGGAGGGAGAGGGTTGGGGATGGGTCTGGGCTGGAACCACATCCCAAGTTACAAACTTCGAGAGCTGTCACAGACCTTGGAGACTTAATCAACCAGCTCCCTCATTACACAGACAGGGAGACTAAAGAATAAAAAAGACTTTCCAAAGGACCTGTATACAATAAGTTAAATGACAAGGCTAGGATTAAAATGCAAAACTTCTCAGGGTATCCTCCCATCCAGATCCCAAAACTTCTCCTAGAGTGAAGGTCCTAGTTCCCTTTATTTGGGAGCTGGGTTAGGCCCTCTCCTTCCTGTCCCCTCAGAGGAAATGGGTCAGGCCCTAATTAACGAGCCTCCTGCCAGAGGCAGAGTTGGAGGAGGTGGGGCAGCCCAGATAGCTGAAAGCACTGGGCATTGCCTAGAGCCCGCTGTGCCTACATCCTGCTGTGTGAGTTTGAGTTAGTCACCCAATCTTAGTTTCCTTACCTGAACACCTAAGGAAGAATGGAGAAGGAATAAAGAGGCTAGGACTGATTTATCTCTAAGGTACTTGACAGTTCAAAGAAACCAAGCAGGCAGAACAAATGGATGGGGGCTGGCAGGTTGAGCCCCTCCAAACACAGGTAGGGCGGGGCTTGCCTCAATGTGAATCCACTTGAACCGGGTCAGATCAACCTTCTCAAAATCTTTAGCTGACACATCTGGGAGGTTCCTAAGTCACAGGATGGAAAGAACAGAGAAGGGGCATGTTTGGATTAGGTAGGGTTAGGATTTCTAACTGGCTGTTGGGGACCCCGTGCCTGGCGCTGCCTGCAGCATGTCAGGTAGCTGGATCCACAGTGCAGGATTCTTAGGCTTAGCACCAGGATGGGTCCAGTCCTACTTTGCCAGGGCGCCCCCTTCTTACTTTGAGGCTGTGATATTACCTAAAGGTAAACTCAACTGCAGCATGGGTCAACTCAACTGCAGCTCAGCGTCAGGTCTGAGCATCTTAAAGATCACATCTCCCAGAATGTGCCAAGAGCCTGACACTACACTTCCCAGAATCCCCTTGCCGGCCACACGCCGCTCCCAGCATGCATTGCGGCGGCAGGCGACGAAGCTGGGTACCGCATGCGGTGTCCTCTCTCTTTTTTAGCGCCCCAGGAGTTTAGGACCTTTCCTGTGGCACCCGTAGCACTCCTGCTCTGAGTTTAGTGGCTCCCTGTCGCAACCCTGAGGTCAAAAAGTAGTTGGCCCTTGAGGACGAGTTAATGTTTGGCTGGCTTAGGCGTGGTGGCCTGAAAAGGGGTCTGCCTCTGTGGTGGGAGACCCACACACAGCCAGTGTGCTCCCTCTGTGTTCTGGGGCCGTATCCTTCGTCCCCTTAACTAGTGTGATCTCGGCCTTTCTAAGGCTGCTTTCCCAAATGTCACTGAAGCGCCAGCCTCAGGCTCACTGCAGTTGGAGGTAATTATGTGAATGTGCCTGGACTGAGGCCAGTAGACAATAAACATTTTCCTGAGAGCTCCTCTCCCTCCCTTCCTTGTGAATACTTGTGTTGTGTCCTTGATCAGAGTTGCTACAGATTGTTGCTTAATGAGCAGAGGACTAGGATTGCCCAGTGTGAAGGTTGAGTCTAGCACATTTCCCTGTCCACTCACTGCTTGGCACATATAGAGCCCAGGACTGCCCCACTACCCCAGGTCCAGTGGTCATGCTGGGTAGTAAGGACAGTCTGAACCCAGGTAGCTGGGCTTGGGCTCTCCCAGCCCTAACGATGGCATATACTCCGTTCACATTAAACTAAACCTCTGAGATCCTTCAGGAGGGAGTCTGCAAAGGATGAGAGGAGTCAAGGGCCTTTCCAGAGTAGCTTGGAACCCTGAAGTCCCTCCAGATTAGCATCACATGAGGTGGCCCTGATCTGCTAAGTGTTCCTCTCCCTTCTTCAGCAATGGCTGTAAATAGTTGGCATGTTTGGTTTGGCTTCATCATGCTGGAACCTTTGGGGGACTCATCTGTTTTGAACACCCAAACCCCAGCTCCTTGGTGTCATGCTGCAGGCTGGCAACTCTAGGCTGATTCTGGAAATCCCAGTGGGCGCCCTGTAGTTTAAGAAGGGTTAAATCATATCTCCCTCCTCTCTGTCCTGACAATTTCCCCACACCTGAACCCAATCTCCTGACTGATTATGGAGGAATCACAACATAAATTACATGTCATACAGCCTTGCCTGGCCATCCTTGGTGTTGACCAAGGCCAAGACACCAAGCAAAATAAAGCCCATTCCTTCCCACCTCACTTCTCCCCTAATTGAAAGCAATTCAGAAATCACTGAACAGTTTGTGGGCAATTTCTGATACAGAAGGGGGCATTTGGGATACCCGCAGTGGCAATTGAGGGGACTGATTGGTGGGTTGCATCAGGGTGAGGCCTGGGGGCCTTACGTGTCGTGGAGCACAATGGTACGGTTGCCATTGGAGTTGTTGACGATGCAGCAAGAGCTGGGGGTATCCCCCTTGCTCTGCCAGGCCACCTGAGACACATCCACGCCCCGCCGACTGAAGTCAGCCACCAGGAAGCTTGGGGTGGAGCCCGAACCAGGGAAAGGGCAAGGAGAACAGATTAGAGTCTACAAGTGGCCTAGACCTCCCACAGAAGTGGGTAGGGAGTTCTGGAACACATGGCCTCTGA